CAGGATGAGGGTGTCACGGACGTCCGAGAGGCAGACGACGCACTCGGCGCTGTTATCGCTCACCTCGTCCTCAGCCACCTGCCCCACGGGAGAGACGGGAGCCACTCGGCCTCGGGGTCCCCAACCCATGTGGCACGAAGGTGGGTTGGCCCTAAAATACCAGCTGGGTGCCCTGAGAGCTCGCTGCGGGGTCCTGCCTGTGTCCCTAGGCTGCCTGCTCTTGAAATACAACCCTGGGACCTTAGCCCTCCCCTCCCGGAGGGTGGGAGGTGAGCCTGGAGGCATCAGGCACCTCACGGAGGGATGCATCCTTCTGCACCCCAACTTTTACGTGTATATATAGCAGAGGGGGTGAGCGGGTAGCATGTCCCACACTTTGAGCCCCATGGTCCCCTCCTAAGCCAGCAAGATACAGCCAGCACCCTCCAAAGAGACCACAAAGGACGGGGGAAAAAGGCTCAGTCCTTCAGCTTTCTGCCTCCAGCAGCTTCAATGCCAACATAAAGTGTCCCCAAACACCTGCACACCCCCAGCAGCTCCGTGCCGTGCTGCAAACTCTCGCCCCGAGCATGTTTTAGCGGTCAGTCCTATGCTAGGGGAAGGGAAGAGGGGGTGAGGGAAAAACCCGTGGGATACAGGCTGGGGGATGCAGGCACGTACCTTGGAGTCCTGCGTGTTGTACTTGTTCTCGATGCCGTAGATCTCCTGCAGAAGGTAGCTCACACCATCCACCTGCAACCCCGCGGGGAAGGGGTGAGGAGCAGAGACATGCCCCCTCCTTGGGCCAGCCCTTCTCACCCCAACATCCGCGGTTTCTCTTTGCATCGATGCACTTGAACTTGCACTCGAAAAGCTCCCTGGGAGGCAGGAGCAGGGCAGGGGCAGGCTGCTGCCCACGCTGGGGTTTGCTGCTCCCCAAAAGCCCCTCGCCACATTCCCCACAGGGGTGTGCGGGGCAGTAGCTGCCACCGCCTCGGGGACACCCGGACACTCACCACTTGCTTCTGCTTGAGGGGCTTCACGCAGAAGGTGCCATCGCTGTGCTGGAGGGAGGAGAGCACACGGGTAGGCACTGGGGCTGAGCACCCCAGGGACCTCGCTGCTCGAGCACCCGCCCGCCCCGTAGCTGCCACTGCTCCCACCTCACTCCCAGCCAGCCCATTTCACAGCAATTCTGGCTTTTCCTGACACCCCAGTATGAAGTAACTGTGGGATGTCACACACATTGCAAGGCTAGAGACTTGTTGGAGCAAGGAAAATGGAATTGAGACCAAATGCCTCAAAACTGAATACTTAAAATTAGGGGAAAGTCCCAGAATTTCAGGAGCAGCCCCAAAACAGCCCCAGCCCAGCAGCACTGTCCCGAGCCCTGCGCTGGGAGCAAGAGCTCTCCAGGCTTTTGCACCCAGTGGGCAAGGGGGCAGGAGGTGGAGGACAGCCCCAGCTTGGCACCTACCTTCTCAAAGGTGGCCAGCAGCACGTGGCAGTGCCCGGTGTGCTCTGCAAGACACAAAGGGACAGGCAGGGCTCAGGGGCCACGCAGAGCCATGGCAGCAGCAAGGAGAAGCAGGAGGCTTCCCCTCGTTGGTGCAAGGGCTGGCACTGCCCTGTCAGCAGCTGGGCAAGCCCAACCCATCAGGGAACCCCCTCCTCACCCTCTCCTTCATCCACCACCGCGTGCACCACCATGGGGTACACCTCCCGGTCCAGGTCGAAGCCCAGCTGGAGAGAGACAGGGAGAGACTTGGTGAGATGGAGCAGCGATGGAGGCTTCATCCCACGTCCATAACCGTACCCGACCCTGCGGTCGATGCCGCAGCCCAGCGGGACCCACCTCCTCCTCGCTCCACTCGGAGGGGTCCACGGTGTGGGAGGGCACGCAGAACTGCTGGCACACCCCTCGCTTGTAGTGCACTGTCTCCGACTGCAGGCTGTTGTCCCTGGGGATGTAGCTGTCCCGTGGAGAGAGGGCAGTGTCAGAGGCACCACAGGTGTCCCCGTGCTCCTCCTGGTCCCCCAGCTCACAGGGGTGGCAGGATGATGGGAGAGAGGGGGGTCACTCCTCCCCTCCCCTCTTGGATGCCTCTTGGGGCTGAGGCAAGAAGTCCTAAAAAGGGCTAAAATAGTACATGGGGCTAAAATATCCCCAGGGCAGCCAACACAGGACAGGAGGGGACAGGGACAAACCTTTAGCCAACCTGGCTGGGACCAGGAGGGGCAATGATTTCTCCTGGTCTCAGCTCTGACCTGGAGGTAACAAGAGGGAGCAGGACAGAATAGGGAAGGAGGTGGCAGGGGCTGGCAGGGACCTGGTGGTGGCACCCAGGGGAGGCAAGGAGCCCCCCCTCCATCCTCAGCACTGCTCGTGCCCTGAGGAGAGGAGACGCTCTGGGCAGGAGAGGCTCCATCTCCATCAGCAGAGCCCCACGCCCTGGCCAGCGGGGGGACAGGCCAAGCCGGGGAGGGGACAGGATGGGACACGCCAGACTGGGGCTCCTCACCTCGCCACCCCGTTGTGAAACTCCTCGGTCGCCTGGTAGTAGATGGTTATGGCCACACGGGCGTCCGTGTCGAAGGTGAACTCCACGTTGTAGTGCACCTTGGCTTTGCTGACTTCTTCCCCCGGGGTCTTCACCTCCTCTGAGCACCTGGGGAGCACAGAGGGTCCGGGAGATGGTCACCCCTCGGGGAGGGCTTGGGGTGCTCCAGGACTGTCCCCCTTGGCAGAGATGGCTCCCCTAGTACAAGGTTCCCCTCGGCACCGACGGCCCTAAAAAGGGCTGCCCCCTCCACCAGGGGAAACTGAGGCCCGCCAGGAGGGCCCAGCATGCCCGAGGTCAATCCTGCAGACCGGGAAGCGCTGCAGGCAGGTTTCAGCTGTAATCCCGAATCTCCCAGCCTGGCTGCAATCCCCAGCCTCCCTCCAACAAAGCTTTTGGGAGGTGGGGGAGGAAGAAAAAAAAGCAAAGCCCTTCAAAGGCAGCACTAAGCTCCTTTAATCCAGCAGCGGAGCCAGCGCAGCCAGTTCCCGCACGCGGGAAGCTCACCCAAGCCGGGAGCAGAAGGGGCATATTTGGATGGCGATGGCTCGTCCCCTCTATCTCCCCATGCCGAGATGAGAGCATACCTGTGCTCAGCATCCCCTGGGAGCAGCCAGCCAGACCCTTCCCTCCCCGTGGCTCACGGCCGTGGGGTGCCCAGCCCCATCTTCTTCCCCCCCCTGCCATGGGACTCACTTGACGAGGCGCAGGGTGTCCTTGCGGATGTTGATTAAGCTCCTGAGGGTCTTCACGGGTTCCTGAGGAGGTGGAGCAGCGTAAGGGAACTAGGACGAGAGAGACACCAGTGAAGGCAGACGCACGCGGAGAGGGTCACAGCGGCCACGGACCCTGTCCCCAGACTCCCCCAGTGACCCAGCCCCAAGCCGACACCCCATACAATGCAGGGCCCAGGGTGGGCTGAGCATCTGGGTGGGTGCTGAGTACCCACAGCTCCCACTGGCACTCAGGTACCAGGCAGCACGATGATGGGGACAGCCCGATGATGGGGACAGCCCTCTGCAAAGAGCAAGTCCAAAAGCCCTTGCAGGGGCCAGTTTCACTGGCAGGGTGGGGGGGCACACAGGGATGGGCTGTTCGTGGTACCTCTGGCTGGAGGGGACGCAGCAGACGCGGGGCACAGGGTGGGCAGGAGGCTGCTGATGGGTTTTGAGGCTGCTGATGCAGCACGGAGCTGCTGGATGAGGCCGAAGCTCCCTCCCTGCCTGTCAGCCAAGCAACAGACATAACTGCCCCTATTTTTTCCCGAGGACGGATGGGATTTGGGTGGCGGTGTCTCCACCAGCCCCATGCCCAGAGCAGGGAGCTGACAAGGCAGCCAGGCGGGACCAGGCAGGCAGCAGCACTAAGAGAAGTATCGAGCCATCCTGCAAGGTCACCTTGTCCTTCCTGGTCCTTTCTGCCCACCTGCAGCCACCACGGGCGCTACAGGGCTTGCTGGGGAGCGGGGACACCCTCTCCTTGGCACTGCAGCCACCCAAGGGAGACCGAGGGCACCGGGGAAGGGATGGGGGACCCATCTCCCCTCTCTCCATCTCCCAGGTAGGTTGAGTCCCAGGCAGGGATCAGACCCTACAGGAGGGCAGCACAAATACGTGTTGGACAGACGGAGGCTCACACTGGGATCAATGCCCGGCTCGTTGGCGAGCTGTCACCATGTGCCAGGGGGCAGCCAGAGCCAGGAGGGTGTCAAGTGCCATCGGGGATGGCAGATGCTCACAAGAGCCAAAGGACTCGACTGCTGCTTTGGGAGAGGGAGTAGGTAACCAAGGCAGGCTGCCTGCGTCCCTTTGTCCCCCCACGCCGCCCCCAGCCCAGATCTGGGGTGGCTCAGGGATGAGGAGGCGCCTGCTGCACCCCGATACCGAGGGGACAAGACTGAAATTGCAGATGGCACTTGGGGATGCCCTGCGGGGAGACTTGGGGATGCCCTGCGGGGAGTCAGGTGCCCATTTCCCACGTCCCTGGCGCCCTCACGTGGGAAAGCCATTGTCACCTTCCCCCAAAGCCATCATCACCTTCCCCGTCCCCAAAGCCATCGTCACCTTCCCCGTCCCCAAAGCCCTGCAGAGCAGGATGGATGGGGCTGGGGGACCCGTGCAGGGCTCAGCGGGACGGGACAGGCAGCTCGCAGGACCAGGCAGTGCAGGCAGAGGCCTGCCCCATCCCTCCTCTGCCAGGCGGGCATCACCCCCCTGTGTCCCCCAGTCACAGGGCTCTGGTCCCACTGGTGGCACCAAGTTAAAGCCTGGGCTGGGCGCAGTGTGGCTGGAGGCACGGGGTGCTTTGAAGATGAATCCACGGCACCTCCAGGAGGGGAAAAGGGCAGCTGAGTCATTAATCTGTTAATGAACTTTTTAACGAGTCACAAGTGCTAAACAGGCACCTGCAGAATCCTGGAAGGAAGCAAGTGAGAAAAAGCCTCTGGGCTGGAGCCAAGCCATGTCACGACATGCCATGGCATGTCATGATACATCCCCTGCTATTCAAATAAATGAAGCAATCCCATCTTGCTCGTTTGCACCGTGCCCAGCTGAGCCATACCCAAACCAGCCTGTGGTAAGCAGCAGAGCTCGCCCCAGCAGGGATAGCACCCATGGGCGCAAGCCCTGTCCCGCCACAGCACCCAGGGGTGGGCGATGGAGGCGGAAAGGGGCAGCTGGGTCCCCTGGGTGCAGCCTTGCGGGGGACGTTGGGCTGGGCAGGATGGGGAAGCGCCACAGGCAAATTTCTTGCTGCAGAAACGGCTTTGCTGTCGCGGTTGGGCTCTTTCACACCCACATCTGGGCTGTTTTTGGGGGGGCTGGGGTGGTTTTTTTTGAATCAAATTTTGCAAGACGATTTGCACATCAGAAAGGGGCTGTTTAAAAGACTTTTTGCAGCTCTTCAATTTAAACCAAGCTGAAAAGCAACAGAAAAAAACCCTCACTGCAACAGTTACCCATTTAAAAACACCATCCATGCATCTATAGTGACATTTGGTCCAGGCTGGCTTTTGTTAAAGTGAATTAAAAAAACTCCTCAAAAATCTTTCTTGGGTTTTTTTTTCTTTTCTACAAGCAGAGCCAGGCAGGTTTGCGTGGGCAGAGAAACCCAGCGGCACATTTCAACAGTCCCTGGCTTCCCCGGAACACCCCACTCTCTCTGGGTGCCGCAAGCAGCTTCTCTGTTCCTCGGCCCCTGCAGAGATGTCCCAGCATGGTGGCAGCTACTTAAACCTGCAACGCCCTTCCCAGCCCCTCGGGAACCAGTCCTGAGCTGGAAAATCCAGATTATCCCGTATCCGTGGAGGGGAGTCTGCACAGCTCTGGGTGCTCTGCACATCCCCCCGGCAGCAGCGCTCAGTCAAGGCGCTCGGCTCGGAGAGGACTTGGGACACAATTTTTCCAAGACCTCCTGGCCCTCGACACCCAAAGAACCCAAAATAAATCCCCCACCAAAAAAAGCACTGGCCATCCCCGCCGTTTCCAGCCCAGACAGGGCTCTCACAGCCTGCCAGCACACGAAAGCATCACAGCCGAGGAGCATCAGGACAGGTCTTGGAGGCAGCATCAGAGATGCCCAAACGATGCTCGGAGCCAGGCTTGGCCCAGAAACAACACTGATCCTCCCCGACCTCTCCCTGAGCCCCCAAAACCAGCCTGACCCGAAAACCCAGCCCCAAAACACCCCCTGCTCCCCAGGAAGACAGGACTTTGGTCACAGCTCTGCAGCCCAGGGCCATCAGTAATTAAGCCGGCGCAATGCAATTTAGTTTGCAACGCTATATTAATTCTTTCTGCTGTTTCCAAGCTGTTCCTTTACCTTCCCCGCTGCTTCTGCTGTCAGGGTGTCTGACTCAGGAACTGCTCGCTGGGCAGTTTAGAGGCTTTTACTGTAATCAAGAGGATTTCTCAGCGCTCGCTGCTGGAGAGGCAACTCGAGCGCTGACTTTTCATTTTCTGGGGAAGCGCAGAGGATGGAGAGGAAGGCGCTGGCTGTGTCCACCCAACGCTCATGGGTTTTGGGGGGTGCTCCTGCCCTTGGCTCTACTCTGGCACAGCCTGGGACCAGCGCTCACCCGCTGAAGGGACCGTATGATGCTGCCAAAATGCTGCCGAAGCCGATTTCAAGGAGGAAACGCAAACTGGGATGGCAGCAGCCTCGCCAGCCCAATACGGAGCAGGCAGCGTTCAAGAGCTGGGCCATTAACACCAGGCAAGTTTCTCTTGACTTTGGTGCCTTTGAATTCCTCACCTTGAGGTTTTTTTTAAACACTTGACCCCCCTGCACTCCTCCGGCCGATGCTGGTGAGCCGCCCCACTGAGACACACCCTAAGGAGCGGGGGACATTCATCCCCGCGGCCAAAACCTGCCGGGAGGATGGCCCCACTCTCGTTCCTCCCTTTCCAAAGGCAGTGAGCAGTAAATACTCCTCCAGGACCATGGGGTCCAGGGACCTCCCTTGCAGCCAGATTTCCCCGTGCCCCAGGACCAGCCAGAGCCAGCAGCACCCAGCACCACGAAACCCATCGGTGCTGCCCACAGCCCCCACTAGCCCCTTCTTTTGTTTTTTCTGCCCCTTTTTCGCTTTTGCCTGTCCTGCACCATGCCAGTGCCCCTCCGGGCACGTCCCCCACCTCGTGCCATCTGGGCTGGGAGACGGCTCCTGGCTGAGCTGGGAAAGGCAAGAGGAAAAGCTGCTCTCGGAGAGGGAGCGAGAAAGGAGGAGTTGAGCTCAATCAGGCCATTACCCCTCAGCATCTTCGTCGCCAGCTTTTAAAGCCGGTGGGTTGGTGGGCGCAGGGCCGACGACCGGCAACATGGGGTGCTGCAGAGCGCGGCACCCAAAGGCGGATGTCACACGATCACCCAGTCCATTCCCAACCACCCGCGAACCTACTCACCCCTTGCAACTCGAGTTTGGCAGAGAGGCACGAGATATGGCAATAACGTTGCGGAGCGGGTGGATGCGGGCAAACAGGCCGAGAGGAGACCCCCGGGTTAGTCCTTGATGGAGGCTGCAGCAAGTGGCCAACCCTTGTATTAGACATCAGAGCAGCCACTCGGGCCATGTTTGGCTGGATCTGCCCTTGGGTGGTGACAGCCAGCAGCCTTATACCATGCACCCCTGGGACACACACAGTCACTACCATTCTGGGAAGTGGCACACCCTGTCCCCGTGTCCCCCCTCAGCCCCGTGTCCCCTCGGTGCCCACCACCACAGGCCGGTTCCCCAGGAAGTTGAGGTCGCTGTTCTCGCCGAAGAGGTAACCCTCGGGGTGCGTGGAGTCGAACTTCTCGCCGCCCATGATGAAGTGGTTGGCAAAGTAGCTCCCTGGGAAAGAAAACACAGAGACCGCCTCAGCGGAGGGGGAGGAGGGGGCTTCAACCAGGCAACGGAGCGGCACGGAGCCACTAAATCGATGGCTCAGAGGTGGCTTCGTCCTCAGGATCACCTTGATGGGGAGAGGCCGGCGCAGGGGTCCAGCCCCACGGCAGCGCCCAGGATTTATCGGGAGCAGATTCACCCCCCTGGAGCTTTGGCTGTGTTTCCTCCCCAAGCACAACGCCTGCTCCCCTTTCCCTGCCCTGGAAATCCCAGCGAGCTCCAGCTCATCCTGAGACACCCAAGGTCACATCAACCTTCAACCACCCCCGCGCTGGCAGGGGTGGCCGAATCCTGGTCTGCGAGCGGGAAGGGGAGATGGCTCCCGGGGGGAGGCAGAACAGGAGAGCAGCGCTAATCCTCTGCATAAACACCAGCTAATTTCCCGAGGAGGCAGGAGAGGCAGCGGTCACAGCCTGTCCTGCCAGAGCACCATGGCCTAGGAGCTTCAGGGCAGCCGGGCTGGCTCCCACACCCCACGGACGCTGCCGGGAAGGGGCAGCACGGAACAGGCACGCAGCCCTCGAAACGGGCAGGGTTGCTCCTGCCCAAAACCCGGCGTCACGGACCTCGTGCGCCGTTCGAGGCAGCGTGTCCGCAGCCAGACACCTGCCTGGGTTTGTGGCGGCCACCGCACGGGAAGGTGGGCAGAGGACACCTGAACTGAGGTCTGTCAGTTCTCAGCCTGCAGCCTTCCCTAGGAAGGGCTCACCTGCAGGATGGAGGATTTGGGGGGTGGGGGGGGCTGTATACCTCCAGGAGGCCAGCAACCCTCCAGAAAGTGCCCTGCATTGCCATGATGAACACCGGGCAATGACCGGTGTCCTTTCTTCCCTCGCAGGGTAAAGCACGGAGCTGAATCACTGGTGTGTCCCATCCCCCGGGCTGGGAACGGCCCCCAGGCCAGGCACTTCTCAGCTACAAGAGAGATTTTCCTCCCAGCCCAGCCAGGAGCCGACTGGTCCCTGCTCCTTGTCCACAAGACCTGGGGGCAGGAAGGTCAGCACTTCTCCTTGAGGTGGGAAAAGGAAGGGAAAGGGGGAAGTGAACCGGGATGGCGAGGGGCGAGCAGGCGCACCAGGAGTCAGGAGAGGCAATGGACGGAGGATGGACATGGCACCCTGCATCCCACTGGCCACAGGGACGGGGTCTGGCTTGCAAAAACCCCAAACCCAACAGCACAAGAGCCATCCACAGCCCCCTGGGGACACCCCAAAATGAAACCTTTGGGGTCCAGAGACAAAAGAGCTCAAGTCTGGGCCGCAGCTCTGCTCGTGGGGACTCAAGTCAGAGCTTGCAGTTACCTCCCAGCAGCGACTGCCCAGGGTTGGATCAGACCTTTATACTGCATTTAAAACCCAAAACCGAGCCCAAAGCTCACAGGGGAGGAGGAGAGGGGATCTAACGTCGGGGCAGGAGGGACGAGCGGGGCCGTACAGCTTCACCCGAAGGCCCCACAGTGCAGGGATGCCCGGATGCAGCGCGCCCGTTAGCAAACGTCAACCATCAATTATTGATGCCTGCAGCTTTCTGGTCCCATTTTCCATGTACATAATTTATAGGCAGCTCCCCAGGGAAGGACGCGGGCACGTAAGAAGAAAAAAAAACCCAAGAGCAAAGTATCTTCAGAGCTGCCTGCAGTGGCATGGCTGGGGGAGAATGGGGCTGTCCGGAGCTTTTCCCGGCACCAACTTGGGGTGAGAGCAGAGGATGGAAAAAAAAAAAAGAAAAAAATCTATTTAAACCTGCAGAAAAGCTACCCCAGCACTGGGGAAAAGCTGGAAAACGGAGCACAGGCTCCCTGCGACAGCCCCAGCCGTGGTTTGGTGGGTGCTAGGGGCAGAGCAGGCGAGGACCATCCTGCCGTCACCCAGTCTCCCTGCCGGGGGTTGGGAGCACCCCTGGGTGCTGCAGGCTCCCAGCACACCCTGTGGGCAGCCTGTGGGGCTTCAGCTCCCCCTTTGCAGCAGACAGCGCTGGCCTTGTGCTCCCTCGCAGGGCAGGTCTTCCAAAAACCTTGCTGTTAAACAAAAGCCTTGAATCATGCCGGGCTCTGCCAGGGAAGCAGCAGCACGGCAAAGCCCAGGGCATGGCAGGAGCGTGGCAGCTCCGCCGGGTGCCGGTGACCCTATGGGCACGGCTGGGTGGCAGAGGAAGCCACAGCCACCTTATTATTGGCTAATTATAAATCCAGTGCCTACCCTCAGGGAAGGAAAGCCCGTCAAGGACGGCCACATCCCCATGGGAAAGCTGGGCTTTAATGAGATCTGAAACTTCAGAGGCCCGGCGAGCGTGCGGGAAGGGCTGAACAGAGCGGCTGCTGCAAAGGCGGAATAACCCAAAACTGCCTGAGGTTCCTGGCAAACAAAGTGTGTCCTGCACGCCCGCCGCCACCAGCACGTGGGACAAACTTGGCACCAGCCGGTGCCGAGGGTGCTGTCAGCCCCTTTTCTCCACGAGTGCCAGGGATGCCACCCTGCCCAGATGCCCCGAGACGGGCGAGGACCCCGTGGGCTCAGACCCTGGTGCGTGCTGTGGCTGTGCCCCTGGCTC